GGTCTTTCTACGATCAGTCTAGGATGATAGTGCCGTTCTGCAACCACTGGGTGGTAACCTGGACGCTTTTTGTGGTTCTTGCTGCCTAACAGCAACCGCGTACATGCTACCGCTGCTCGGCTCCAATTTGGGTGTCTTCCTCCCCACTGTTCGCATCAACGGAGCGCCATCGCTCTGATGCACTTCCCTGTGATCTCATTCCACCCCACCAATGGATCACTTCGACATAGATAGGTATCGTCGTGATCAGTGATGAACTGGAACTCGTGCCGCATTAATCATCCTCAGATTGGTTTGCGATTGAAAACTCGAAATGCGCCGTGTTATGGTGGGGCATTTCGGCCTTTACTCCACGCTACAAAACATCGACAGTCACCTTGAGAAGTTTCCTTTGGTCTAAAGGATCACTCTGATCACCACGCCATGTGCACAATGCGAACAGCACAACAATATCATGCATGAATTGGCCTTGAGGCGTCATGAGAAGTAATAAACGTTTCCTATCAAGATGTTTTCAAAGACACTCTCACTGGTTTGACTACTACTTACCTTCTTGGGTCCGTATATCCGCCTCGCTGGCAGGGTAGCTTCCGGGAGCACACATTGCTACAGTAAATCTTATTCATCAGCCGGATATCGTTGAATGACAATTGGTCGCGTTGTCCTGAACACACAAGGTTAGCCTAGGGTTCGGATCAAGCCGTCAGCCGAACCGCTTTTGAGTATGTCCTTGGTTTGGAAATCTCTTCCAGAATTCGTTCAAAACTTACGCTACTGTACGGCGCTCAACCTTCGACCGAGACAAGTTTTACAGGAATATGCTCTATACCTGGTTTCAACTGTGGGAACAAGACCTCGGCGCTATCGCAAGATATGGAGGCATTGTTATGGCAACGCATTCGAAACCACGTACAGTCGGTATCCGAAAGTTGGGGTAGGCGTATCTGATATCCAGCGATGTATGTTGGAAGCAGCTTATCCACATGGCTTCTATCAAGTGCACGTCACTTCCGGTGACACGCCCACCCCAACTCTCGGATATCGAGTATAAGACATCTCCTCTTTGTTGGAAACAGGCTTAAGCCCTAGGGGAGAATGGAGAGAATCCAGGGTGTGTGAGCAATTTTTATTTTGCGGAAGTTCCTGCAGCTGTGGGAGCCCCAGTCCACGTCTGATCGGTAGTTGACCTGGGGTTTCCGCAGCGAAAATGGTTTCGCGCTGCGCAAGCGGAAAAGTCCCATTCTGTCCTAGCGAATCACATCCCTAAGCTTAGTTGTAGAGGATGCCCCCGTATCTTGCAATAGCGGCGAACCTCTAATACAGGACGTTAGTTTAAGAGCGCTTGAAGTTCGCTGAATCTAAGGATTTGGCCACGATACACCCGACAAACAGTCTTTTTTACGCGCTTTTCCACTGCAAACTAAATATGGCGCGCTCTTTTATTTTCCATTTATTACCACATCTCAATCAAATTTTTCGAGACCTGACAAATGACATGGAAACCCGTTCAGAGGATAGCATAAAATACTTCCTCAAAAGCCAATTACGCCATATCGCATCATACAGTAGTGGCCAAAGAGGCACTTGGAGAGTGCGTGGGAACGTGACAGAACAAAACCAATGGCAAGAACGTTTGATAGGCACT